CTGTATTTAATAAACCAGACACCAGCATGCCATCCTTACGTTATCTTCATGCTCTAACCTCATTGGCTAAGCTCATCCTCTTCCTTATTAAGGTCACTCAATAACTCGGTCGATAGAGCTTCGGCTTCACACGCACGGGGTTCACAGTTCGAGCCTCCTAGAGCCCAGGTGACAGGAATCATCTGCTTCCTCTTCTTTCATTGGCTGGAAGAGCGTTCCTCCTCCTCCTTCTTCCCCTCCTATTGGCTACCAGAACTCTGGGGCTCTAATTGGCCGATAATTATACTATTGGGACTCCGGCCTCTAAAGTTTTAACGAGTCTGACTAAAATGATCACTTTTATTTTCTAATATTCGCCATATAATTTTGTTGTGAGGAATGTGTCGCTGTGTGTGTGTGTAGACCTCATATATATATATATATATATATATATATATATATATATATATATATATATATATATATATATATATATATATATATATATATATATATATATATATATATATATATATATATATATATATATATATATATATATATATATATATATATATATATATATATATGTGCAGAATAACCACATATGAAAAATAGAAAATGCTTAACGCGTTTTCGGCTAATTCGCCTTCATCAGAGCAAAGTAGAATCATTCTACTTTGCTCTGATGAAGGCGAATTAGCCGAAAACGCGTTAAGCATTTTCTATTTTTCATATGTGGTTATTCTGCATACTTGGATCAGTGTTTTTGTGATCATTGTTGCATATATATATATATATATATATTTCTTACTACTCCTGGAATTAAACACTTCAGCATAATTACAACTACAAATTTTTATGAATATATTATCCGTTCTACCTAAGTAACTGCCGCCATCTAGGGAACGAAAAAACACTTAGTAGTTCCGTTATATTTTGACGTATGACGGAAATTCGCAGCGAAGCCTATGAAATGTGAAATTCTGGATTAATTTTTCGGAGAGTTTCTCGATAATTTTTTCTCGCTCTTCGTCAGATAGACTAGGTGTCAGATAGGCTAGGTGTTAGATAGACTAGGTGTCAGGTAGGCTAAGTGTCAAATAGGCTAGGAGTCAGCCAGGCTAGGTGTTAGATAGGCTAGGAGTCTGCCAGGCTAGGTGTCAGATAGGCTAGGAGTCAGCCAGGCTAGGTGTCAGATAGGCTAGGAGTCTGCCAGGCTAGGTGTCAGTCAGCCTAGGTGCCAGCCAGGCTAGGTACCAGCCAGGCTAGGAGTCAGCCAGGCTAGGTGTCAGATAGGCTAGGAGTCAGCCAGGCTAGGTGCCAGTCAGGCTAGGTGTCAGCCAGGCTAGGTGCCACCCAGGCTAGGTGCCACCCAGGCTAGGTGCCACCCAGGCTAGGTGCCACCCAGGCTAGGTGCCAACGAGTGCCTCTTCATCAAATAAGCTCAGAACTTGCGCCCAAAATGAGGTTAATCCCCTTATTGTACCGATTACGTGCGGTTGTTAGTTTTAAATAGTCCATTCCAAAGTTTATATAGGTTTGTCGCGATATCGCAGATGCACGCACGCAATCAGGCACACGCACACGCACAATACACCACCACTCACACACAACTAATTTACGTGCGTGCCAATATATACACAATAATCCAGGAATACACAGAACTATATCATTGTCCTGGCGAATGAAAAATGTGTGAAAACAATTTTATTTCCATCACGGGAGGTTGCCATAGATTGACCGAGTTGCCATGACGTAAATATTGGCCATTGAGAGGCGTTGGACTGCTCGCCAATCCAATCTGACCAACACCGGACAATTTATGGTGTATTAAATACATATTACAGCGCTCAGGGTGAAATATTGTTAGAGTGTGTCGATATATGTGTGTGAGAGAGAGCCAGCACCATCACTACCACACTATTCACCATCACTACCACACTACTCACCATCACTACCACACTACTCACCAACACTACCACACTATTCACCATCACTACCACACTACTCACCATCACTACCACACTACTCACCAACACTACCACACTACTCACCAACACCATCACTACCACACTACTCACCATCACTACCACACTACTCACCAACACCATCACTACCACACTACTCACCATCATCACTACCACACTACTCACCATCACTACCACACTACTCACCAACACTACCACACTACTCACCAACACTACCACACTACTCACCAACACCATCACTACCACACTACTCACCATCACTACCACACTATTCACCATCACTACCACACTACTCACCATCACTACCACACTACTCACCAACACTACCACACTACTCACCAACACCATCACTACCACACTACTCACCATCACTACCACACTACTCACCAACACCATCACTACCACACTACTCACCATCATCACTACCACACTACTCACCATCACTACCACACTACTCACCAACACTACCACACTATTCACCAACACCATCACTACCACACTACTCACCATCACTACCACACTACTCACCAACACCATCACTACCACACTACTCACCATCACTACCACACTACTCACCAACACCATCACTACCACACTACTCACCATCATCACTACCACACTACTCACCATCATCACTACCACACTACTCACCATCATCACTACCACACTACTCACCATCATCACTACCACACTACTCACCATCATCACTACCACACTACTCACCAACACCATCACTACCACACTACTCACCATCATCACTACCACACTACTCACAACACCATCACTACTACACTACTCACCAATACCATCACTACCACACAACTCACCAACACCATCACTACCACACTACTCACCATCACTACCACACTACTCACCAACACCATCACTACCACACTACTCACCATCATCACTACCACACTACTCACCATCATCACTACCACACTACTCACCATCATCACTACCACACTACTCACCATCATCACTACCACACTACTCACCAACACCATCACTACCACACTACTCACCATCATCACTACCACACTACTCACCAACACTACCACACTACTCACCATCATCACTACCACACTACTCATCAACACCATCACTACCACACTACTCATCAACACCATCACTACCACACTACTCATCAACACTAACACTACCACACTACTCACCATCATCACTACCACACTACTCACCACCATCATCACTACCACACTACTCACCATCATCACTACCACACTACTCACCATCATCACTACCACACTACTCACCATCACTACCACACTACTCACCATCATCACTACCACACTACTCATCAACACCATCACTACTCACCATCACTACCACACTACTCATCAACACCAACACTACCACACTACTCACCATCATCACTACCACACTACTCACCACCATCATCACTACCACACTACTCACCATCATCACTACCACACTACTCACCATCATCACTACCACACTACTCACCAACACCATCACTACCACACTACTCACCATCATCACTACCACACTACTCACCAACACTACCACACTACTCACCAACACTACCACACTACTCACCAACACTACCACACTACTCACCATCATCACTACCACACTACTCACCAACACCATCACTACCACACTACTCACCAACACCATCACTACCACACTACTCACCAACACCATCACTACCACACTACTCACCAACACCATCACTACCACACTACTCACCACCATCACTACCACACTACTCACCAACACCATCACTACCACACTACTCACCAACACCATCACTACCACACTACTCACCAACACCATCACTACCACACTACTCACCAACACCATCACTACCACACTACTCACCAACACCATCACTACCACACTACTCACCAACACCATCACTACCACACTACTCATCAACACCATCACTATCACACTACTCACCATCACTACCACACTACTCACCAACACCATCACTACCACACTACTCACCATCACTACCACACTACTCACCAACACCATCACTACCACACTACTCACCAACACCATCACTACCACACTACTCACCATCACTACCACACTACTCACCATCACTACCACACTACTCACCAACACCATCACTACCACACTACTCACCAACACCATCACTACCACACTACTCACCATCACTACCACACTACTCACCAACACCATCACTACCACACTACTCATCAACACCATCACTACCACACTACTCACCAACACCATCACTACCACACTACTCACCATCATCACTACCACACTACTCACCAACACCATCACTACCACACTACTCATCAACACTACCACACTACTCACCATCATCACTACCACACTACTCACCAACATCATCACTACCACACTACTCACCATCACTACCACACTACTCACCAACACCATCACTACCACACTACTCATCAACACCATCACTACCACACTACTCACCAACACCATCACTACCACACTACTCACCATCATCACTACCACACTACTCACCAACACCATCACTACCACACTACTCATCAACACTACCACACTACTCACCATCATCACTACCACACTACTCACCAACATCATCACTACCACACTACTCACCATCACTACCACACTACTCACCAACACCATCACTACCACACTACTCATCAACACCATCACTACCACACTACTCACCAACACCATCACTACCACACTACTCACCATCATCACTACCACACTACTCACCATCACTACCACACTACTCACCAACATCTTCACTGTCCCACTAACTCTCATACTTTCACTGTCAGTATAATAATCTTGACCATATATTCACTCACAAACATTTTCACTTACACAATTACCTCACTATCTCAAAACTCACAACTTACTCTTCTGTAAACTGTGTCACTCTTGACAGCATTACCATCTTAGATGAAGCATTACCACCTCAGATGAAAGCATTACCATCTCAGATGAAAGCATTACCATCTTAGATGAAGCATTACCATCTCAGATGAAGCATTACCACCTCAGATGAAAGCATTACCATCTCAGATGAAAGCATTACCACCTCAGATGAAAGCATTACCATCTCAGATGAAAGCATTACCATCTCAGATGAAAGCATTACCACCTCAGATGAAAGCATTACCATCTCAGATGAAAGCATTACCATCTCAGATGAAAGCATTACCATCTCAGATGAAAGCATTACCATCTCAGATGAAAGCATTACCATCTCAGATGAAAGCATTACCATCTCAGATGAAAGCATTACCATCTCAGATGAAAGCATTACCATCTCAGATGAAAGCATTACCATCTCAGATGAAAGCATTACCATCTTAGATGAAAGCATTACCATCTTAGATGAAAGCATTACCGTCTCAGATGAAAGCATTACCGTCTCAGATGAAAGCATTACCATCTCAGATGAAAGCATTACCATCTTAGATGAAAGCATTACCATCTCAGATGAAAGCATTACCATCTCAGATGAAAGCATTACCATCTCAGATGAAAGCATTACCATCTTAGATGAAAGCATTACCATCTTAGATGAAAGCATTACCGTCTCAGATGAAAGCATTACCATCTCAGATGAAAGCATTACCACCTCAGATGAAAGCATTACCATCTCAGATGAAAGCATTACTATCTCAGATGAAAGCATTACCATCTCAGATGAAAGCATTACCATCTTAGATGAAAGCATTACCATCTCAGATGAAAGCATTACCATCTTAGATGAAAGCATTACCATCTTAGATGAAAGCATTACCATCTCAGATGAAAGCATTACCATCTCAGATGAAAGCATTACCATCTCAGATGAAAGCATTACCATCTCAGATGAAAGCATTACCATCTCAGAAGAAAGCATTACCATCTCAGATGAAAATCATCTTGACAGTCGCCGTCAAACTGCACTTGACAAGTTGAGGATAAAGTCCTATCAATAATGTGTACGGTGTTGCTAAGACAAGTTGACGGGTGATCAAAATGGTGTGAGGACCATGAACATTTTCCCTTGCCTGCCCCTCTGGCCAGCCCTTGTGATCCTCTTGACTATATTGTCTGGCATCTAGGATATTAGCACCTGCTTAACTAGCTGGCCATGTGACTAGTTAGTCTGGCAAAATGGAGCGTCTTGGGGCTCACGACGTGGCGCAGCTCCTAAGGAAGAAAATAAAAACTCTTGGCTCCGGGACTTACGGTAGAGTAGTCCTGGTTAACTGGCACGGAGAGCAGGCCGCACTTAAAGTGGCCAACCATGCATCGGCCGCTAAGAGCTTCAAGCGGGAAGCCAGCGTCTTGTCAGAGCTGAAGGGGGCTGGAGGCGCGCCCCTCCTACTGGCGGTGTCTCAAGACCGCCCAGCTCTCCTCACCACTTATAAAGGGGACACGAACGTGGATAAGATTTTATGCCACCCGCGATACGACGTAGTGCAGATTGGGTTTAAAATTGGCCTAAAATTATTACATGTCCACACAAAAGGCTATGTGCATAACGACATAAAATCCAACAATGTAATGATTGAAGGCTCACCCGACCACCCAAAAATTAGTGTGATCGACTTCGGCCTCTCCTGTAAGAGTGGTGAAGTGGTCCTTACAAAAGGTGACCCCGAGGACTACCCGCTCTACGCCCCAGAACTCTTGGCTGGTGAACCCAGCACCTTCTCCTCAGACGTGTTCCAATACGGCCGTCTAATGCAGGAGATCCTAGAGGTAACAGGTACCAAAGATCCGGTACTAGTGAACCTGTTCCAAGAGGCGACACTGTCCAACCAAGAGTGGCGGCCATCCCTGCCCAACCTGCTCCGCCGCCTACAGGACCACATCAGAGACGACACCACCACGGACTCCACCTTCCACCGAGACCGCAAGAGGATTGAGCGGTATGAGGCAAAGTGCGCCAAGTGGGGGACAGACAGAGACGGACTGAGGATGCCTAAGGAGCAGGTTATGAGGGACAAGGCGCGGACGGAGGACTATTTGTTCCGTATAAGGGAATACCATGGGATCCTCGTCCTGTGAGAAGGATATCTATGATATCCTCGCCCTGTGAGAAGGATATCTATGATATCCTCGCCCTGTGAGAAGGAACTGGTTCAATATCTCATTTTTTAAGTTTATAACAAAAATAAAGAAATAAAAGGATTAATTTATATTATCTGTTTGTCTAATCCTTTGCACGTAAAACTTTCATTGTATATAAATATGTTTTTAATAAATTTTGTTATTAATGTGTGTGTGTGGTGAGGATTGGTAAATATTGAGAGAGAGAGAGAGACAGAGAAAGAGAAACCTAGAATCAATAATTTCTCAACATGCCTTTTTTTGTTAATTACTTACTAATCGCACAGCAAATGATAAAATTTGCTAATCATCTTTGGCTAACATGTGATCGACAGTATGGTTTTAGTAAAGGCCGATCTGCTGCTGATCTCTATTCTACGAAACGTCTTAATAGCTACTTTTTAAATTACTGATTAAACAAATGGTTAATCAGATGAAATTTCTGTAATTAGACTGTTCCCCATTCATAGAAGCCCCTTAATATAGAACATAATAATTGAGAAAACTCCTGAAAACCTATTGGTCAATACGCGGCAGCTACTGATTGTATGGAACCCAAGTCACATATCCAACATACGCTTAAAACGTTCAAGTGATCCCAAAATGGTACTAATTTCTATTGAAATCTTCATGGAAGTGAATTTTGAGGATGCTGTTTGTGAGGATTCATGGGTGAGAACATTAAAAAGCAAAAAAAATCTAGGTTATTAGGCTTTTTAATATTAAAATCTCTCTCTTGTGCTTGTTACTAGTAAACACAAAAAAGGTTTCGAAGAGATTCTACGACATTGGCAGAGGGTCGTATAATAGTTAAGTTGATGGTTAGTTACAACAACTTCATTACAACAATTTTTAAAAAAAAATTCAAATAGCTTTTAATAAGTGTACTGATGTTCTTTCATGTTATGAAATTATAGTTCTCTGGTATATATAAAGATTTGTTACTTTTTTTTCTGTAAAATGTGATTATATGACGGCTGGGAATTTGTTGTTTGAACTTAGTTTGAAATAATACCACTAATAACTGAGCAATTAAATGAAATTACAATTTTTCCAAGAAACCAAAAATATCCATTTATTATCATGAGGACAAATGGGGGGGGGGGGAAAGGGACCTTTGACAAGCCGTTGGCTTCCTGTCCTCATCGAGGCCACTAGAGTGTTAGCGGCCCTCAGGTAAATTCAGGTAAAATTCCCAAATGTTATGTAGAGGTTCGCAGCCTCGGTCCGGATGAATCCCTGCTTCCAGGACAAACTTTACAGGATGAGTTTACTCACCAGATTCATCGAAAAGTGTTCATCAGAGCGCCTGTAAAACTATAGTTTCTTGAGTTAACAATATTGGTCATTACAATCCTAATAATGTTATCTGAAACAAATTATGATCAAAACTTGATTGGTCGGGTTCCTCATTGTCAACAATTACCAACTGTTTCTTATTCTCAAGCAACACTGTACTTCTCGTATCAATAAACAGGCAGTTATAAAACGTGTAAATTAGTATTAATTAATATGAATATATATATAAACACACGGGAAAATGACGTACATTGGTGTTAATAATGTAATGCTGTCAAAATGTTTGGTTGGGGAAGGGTTGCCCGCCCTGCATCAGCTGATCGGCCGGAAAGCGCGCGCACTCTCGCCCTCCCTCACGTGGTAGCTCTCTCTCTCTCTCACTCTCCCTCACTGTCTGCCTCCTTTCCCTCCCTCATGTGCTACAGTTCCCTCCCTACGTCCCTCATATACTAAGCTCTCTCCCTCACTGCCGGCCTGCCTCCTAACCCTCACTCAAGCGGCTGACTGTCCCTTCGCATTAATCTACTAACAAGAGGCGACTCAAGGAGACTCAAGCAATATATTCAGTGCGTCTTTTTCAAGGTAAATAACACTGATTCATTACTCTGCAGCGGAGTAGTATTATATAACAATGTTTTATATCCTATGAGTTTAAGTGTGCTCGAGTTTGAGTGGGTATACCAGGATACTGGGCTGGGGTATACCGGGATACCGGGCTGGCGGAGTATACCTGGAGATCGGGATGAAGTATACTCAGATATCGTTCATGAAAATGCCGTCCGGATCTTTCACTTTCATGTTGTTTATTGGCGTGATAAATATAGCCTCTTACTGGCCTTTAGGATGTCGCTAATTTCTTTATCGTTTTCTGTGACCTTCAGTGCCAATATTTTACTTGGAACCTAGTGCCAATATATTTCGTGGGACCTAATGGCACTATAATTTTTGGGACCTCGTGGCACTATAGTTGTGTTGACATAGTGGCACTATAGTTCAACACCTTGTGGCATTATAGTCTCCGAGAGTACGATATTCCAGAGTTTTCAGACACGTAACTTCTGGCATCACTTTGCCATTTCAGTTGCCATTTCACTTTGCCATTTCAGTTCAAAGTGGCAATTCGCGTATTTCAGCGCCATTTGGGTCCTCCACATTGCTTGACTAGTTGAATATTCATATTCAATAATTTCCCTGAAAATCTCCCTAAACCCTCTCCCCCCCTCTCAAAAATGGTTGACGGATGCGTCAGTTTATTGCTCTCGGTTGCTAGAGTCTTCAAACTTTACATACATAGGCCTATAAAAAAAAGTTTGAGGTGGGTTGAGGCATAAGTGTGTAGCCTAATGAATTCCAGCGTAGCCTCTTGAAATCTCTAAGTTGGAAATGTAATATTTTTACCCCTAACTTGGCCTAACCAAGCAATCTTGGACCTAATATATGCTATTTTAGGCCTAATATAGTACATATATATGCTCTAGTAGGCCTAGATGTACTTAAATTTTGCTTTTAATTTGTTTGACCTCTTCAAAATGAATTGTAGAAACAGGATTTTTTTTGTAGGCCCTAGTCGTTGGACCGACTAGTTTCTACTAGAGAAACTAGTTGCTAGGAGGCCTATGCTCACCGGTCAGTCCAGGAATATGTTTACCCTCAACCTCTCCTCAAGCTAGGATGGTTCAAGCTGCGGTCCACATCACAGACACCCCTCATAAATTTTGAATATATTGTGTATTAAAATAGATTTTTCTCAATTATTTTTTGGTTTATTATTATATATTAGACCTCAGTGGATAGTTAGACATTGGTTAGGTTAGGAGTAGGTTAGGTTAGGTTAGGAGTAGGTTAGGTTAGGTTATTATTATTGTATTTGTAGTACGTGGGTGAAGTATTTACAGTTCTCTGTCCTCATATGCCTTTCAAGTACAATATGTAGTAAAACTGACTTAGTGCTTTATTAGGCTTAAACTTCCACTTTGAGCAGGGGTTTGATGGCTCTGAAATCCTTACTATATGCTAGCCCGTGGCTCAGTCGGTAGAGCACTCGCCTCTCACGCTGGCGGTCAGGTGTTCGAGCCTCCCATTACCCTCGCGAATTAAATATATATATATATATATAATACCAACATACTCACGGGACTCTACCCAGCAAATTCTCAGGGACAAGGAAGCCCTGAAGGTCTCCATAACAGCCCAACACACACACACATATATAAGTAATTCCGGCCCTGAAAAGCCGGAATTACATAAGAGTTTGGAGAGAATTCTTGTCAGGATATCGACTGGAGGAGCGATCCCATCGAAGGGCTCCGGAAGGTGTTTGTCGCGGGTAAAATGGAAGGGAATTAAGCGGGTTGGTCCTCGTTCGAGGCATTTTTCACGTCTATTGTCTGATGGAGTATGTGTCTCAGCTGTTGTATGTGTCTCAGCTGTTGTATGTGTCTCAGCTGTTGTATGTGTCTCATCTGTTGTATGTGTCTCAGCTGTTGTATGTGTCTCAGCTGTTGTATGTGTCGCAGCTGTTGTATGTGTCTCAGCTGTTGTATGTGTCTCAGCTGTTGTATGTGTCTCAGCTGTTGTATGT